GTGCAGCCTGCTGTAGGTGACCCTGCTTAGGCAGGGGGGTTGGACTAGATGACCCACAGAGGTCCCTTCCAACCCCTACTATTCTGTGATTCTGTGATTCTGTGACACGCCGGCAGTTTTTCGGTGTGGCAGTGCCAGCCCGCTCTTTGCCTGGAATGTCCTCTGCCTCGTGGGGTAACTCGGTGAGCTGGAGGAGCTCTGCCATCCTCACTACAGGAATATTTATTTTTTTTCCCAACACCACAGGGCTAAGGGTTGTCCAGATACAGCACCAGCTGAAAGACACGTTGTCCGTTCACGTCAGCGACATCTTTGTGTTGTGTGCAGGCGTAAGAGATGTGGGCGGCGCTGATTTCATGCGCAAGAGTTACTAAAGGTCTCTTGGCTCTCAAGTCTGCAAGCCAGACCTGGCTGGAGCAGGCGTGCGTAGTACGTGGCGAGGAGCGAGTGTGCGGGTGAGCTGGCTGTGGGCGCTGCCTGGTGCAGCCGTGCAGTTGGTGTCAGAAGTGGCTGCTTAACCAAATCTTGGCTTCAGGCAGTTTGAGAGTTGAAAATTCTGGTTTAGGATTTAAAGACAGATGTTGAAAACTTCTGTGAAGGAAGCCATAAACCTTTAAATCGTCAGGGTAAGCATGAGGAAGAAAAGAAATTCTCGCTAATTATAGTGAGATGGGGGAAATTGTGGATGCTGGAAGATTCCACAGATGCTCTGAAGTGTACGAATGGAAAATTGGGAAGTCCCTTTCGCATGGTAAAATACCTGTGGCTTTTACTGTTTTCCAAAGAAGTGTCAGAGGATTGAAATTGATAAAAAGATATTAATGTATTTCTGGCTTATCTCCATCCAACTTGAGTAAAATTTGAGACTATGAAGGAGGGAAGATTCAGTCTCGTTCTTGCCTTATAGTGGCAATGCTTTGGTTTCCTGAGATACATTTCAGAAAAGGAAGCTAGCGTTAGAGATGGGAATGAGTTATTAATTTCTTGGAATAATCAGTTATTTTTATACTCAAGATATTAAAAAGCCTAATTACATTTTATAGCAAGAGTGCTCAAATAGGCACATTTCTAAAATGGATTTCCATTTGAAGGTACTTGGGAGACGATTTCAGTAGCAAAGTGTGTTTCTTCTCATCCTTATGAATCTGGATCGCTAGTGATGACTTTCCTTGTGAATCACTGGTTTCCTTTCCACGTGCTCTTGCGTTTTTACCAAGATGGTGGTGGAGTCCAGCAGTTTGTCTTTGGAAGTAAAAAAGGACAGCTTGAGGCAGACGGGCTGAACAAGCCATTTTTTTTCTCCCTTAAGGAGAAAAGCCAAAACTTTTTTTTTTATTACCACTATTTTGTGTTTAATTCATATTTCTTTGGTATGAAACTTTTTTCATATATTTTGGCTGTACTTCAGGTTCTGTAGGACTCGTTCTTTTCCTCTTCCTGTAGTTCAGTGAGCTACTGGTCGTTACCTGGACCTGCAGGATGATGTGCTACTGCTGCTTTCATGTGTTTCTCCCAAGAAAACCAGGTGGAAGACAGCAGTCTGCGGGGTTTGGGGGTCACACTGAGCTGTGCTGACCTCGTGCCTCCTCCGGCGGTGAATCCCACAGGCTATTGATCTCTCTTCGTTGCGAGAGCTTGGGGAGTTTGTTCGTTACTCCCCAGCACTCAGTGAGGCTGGGAGGCAGACAGAAGATGCTCTGGATCGTGCGCCTGCGGGGCCCGTGTGAATGTGCGGTAACGGAGTGCAGCACACCGAGTTACGGTGTCCCCGAGGGGTGCGGCGAGTCTCGGAGGCCCTGGGCAGCGGGGCTGGGTTCCTCGGCTGGAAATACGCAGGGCCGCTGCGTGTTCCGGGAAGGGCTGGGTAGACCCCTCAGCTGAGGGTGCGTTCCGGGCGCTCCGCTCCTTGCCCAGGCGTCGAGGCCTCTCCAGTCGCTGCTGTGCCTTCGTCCTGGCTGCCTTTGCAGAGGATGGGGCACGTGCAGCAGAGTTCAGATGTCAGGCAAATACTTTTTACCCCTTTTTCCTTTGACTCCACGTTCCTCCTTTCTGAGGAAAAGATGTTTCAGGCTGCTGCGTAACCGTGCTGGTCTGGGCTGGAATCGGTGCTTCTCCAGCTCTGTGTGTGCTGTCCCCGCGCCGGGCAGGCGCGGTGTGGCTGGGGTGCGGCCTCCGGCTTGCAGCTGCGTCGGGGATGCTCCCTGTCCGGCTGAGCCCGCCACCGCGGTGGTGGCTTGTGAGAGGGCGATGGGTAGGAAACCACGTTTCCGTGGAAGGTTGGTTGTTAGTACCTTTGGTTCTTGCCTTTAACAGTGATTTTGGGCTTTTCAGTCTTGAATGTCTTTAAATTGAGCTGTACGGCGTGGGGGAAAAGTATCATTATTTAAACAAAAAAAGCACGGAGCTTCATTAAGGTAAATACTGTAGCAATATTAATTTCATAATGTCAAAATCCTTAGAGTAGGTGAATGTTAATGGCAATGATTTTTTTTAAGGTAATTCAAGCACAAATAAAATTATACTATATAAGAGGTAAGATAATTATTCCTTGGTATGGAATAACATTAATTACAACAAAGTAGATGGGAGTCAACAAACAATCAATTTTATAATGGTCATTTTTGTGTATTTTGTAGCAGCTTTATGCATTGGACAACAGTTACCATCAGTCTCCGACAGCACTCCCAAGCATTTAATCCTGTTTGGTAACAGATGTTCCAGTGTTGTAGCTGAGGAATTTAAAAATAAAAGTAAGGAAAAGACGCAAAATAAAGATGTTGCTAGAACAGAGTTTCTACACCAAAATGAGCTATAACAGAAATTCATAGAGAGCCCAGATCACCAGAACGTAGTAAGCCATTTAACACACAGGAGAGTCCGGATAATTCTTACTGGGTGGAGGAGCTGAAGTTGGACGTTAATTTTGCCAATCTTTAGGTCAAGTTAAAAAAAAAACCAAACCTGGCAGACCCCACTTTGCAGGCATTACCGAGCCTCAAACGTTAAAGCAGCAAAGACCTGGATGAAGAGTTAGAATGTACCCTCAGCAAGTTTGCTGATGACACCAAACTGGGAGGTGTGGTAGATACACCAGAAGGCTGTGCTGCCATTCAGCGTGACCTGGACAGGCTGGAGAGTTGGGCAGGGAGGAACCTGATGAGGTTCAACAAGGGCAAATGCAGGGTCCTGCACGTGGGGAGGAACAACCCCAGGCACCAGTACAGGCTTGGGGTGGACCTGCTGGAGAGCAGCTC